CAGATCTGGATGCACGCCTTCTGCTCCGGCAGAGGAAACGAGGTCAGCGAAACCGCAAGCATGAGGAAACGGGGGAAGGAGAAGAAAGGAATGTGTGGGTAGGGAGGGAGAGGCTTACGCTCTGGAGGAAGCGGAAGATGGGGTTGACGGGCTGGGTCATGATCCGCTGCACCTTGGTGGACGCCATGACGGGCTAGGCTGCTGTCTGCGCTCCCCCTCGCCGACAAGCTTGGACCTGCAGGGTCCCCGGCAACGTACATGGATGGAGATACCGAGAGGCAGGGCTCGGCGAGCAGGGGCAGGGCATATAGCGCGACGGCGGCGGACAGAGCCTCCACATCCGTGTCGTCGTAGGCCTCGGTCGGATCAGACGGGCTGATTCTGACGCTGTCGCGCCTCCCGCGCGTCCTCCTCCTCACGGCCGTTGCCCGTAGCGACGAGGAGAGTGTTGAGCAGCTAGTCGCGGTGGGCGGCGCGCACTCGAGCCGGCCGGCGCGGGCCCGGAGCGCGGCGGCCTGGGCCTCTTCGTCGGCGAACCGCGTGTGGACTCGAACGGCGCGGAGAGGAGGGCGCGGCGGAGAGGAGAAAGGCCGGGTGCGGTGATGATGGCGGCACGGCTCGGCGGAGGATGCGGGATGGCGGCGGATCCAGACGGGGGTGGGAGACGCGGTCGCTCGAGGTGCGGGGAGGACGGCGCGGCGGACGAAAAACACAAGGGCTTTAATGTAAAACTACCGTGACGGTGAATCCGGAGACTCAATCCGTGCTTTATTATTACTAGCACAAATGCCCGTGCGTTGCAACGGGAGGCTACAAAACTTACCTCCAAGCATGCGAGCTGCAAGCCCAAGAGCCTCCAGCACCCTGATCGCAGTGGACCGGCATTGAAAATTCGCGCGATAGGTGAGGAAGAAAGGATGTGGCATCCACGTGTAGTGGGTCATCGACGGCTAAATCTCTACTATGAAATTTAAAAAGAAAACTAATATGTGATTGTGTTATTTCTAGTTCAGTCCATAAACTAATTTGGGTTTAATCTATCAAACTAAACCAATGATTAATTTTATGAAACAAATTCAGATAGAAGACGTTACATGTCAGCAATTTGGGGTTTAATATATCAACAGAATAAATGTCAGCAATTTGGGTTTAATATATCAACAGAATAAATGCTTTGTCCTCCAAATTTATATGTAGTAAGAGAATACCTATTGGATAACAGAATAGAAGGAGAAATAATCAACAGTGATGGTGAACAGTAACATAAGGAGCCTAGGGATGTGCATGTGAAGAACGGTGCAAACATGGTGATAACTGCATTGCCATTATCGCCAAGCAAAAGCAACTGGGGCAACAACCCATATTATAAACCCAAATATACCTGCGTGTTCCAATGGGAGAAGGGGAAAAAATCCTCATACGCACCATCCCCACAATCATGCTCACTATCTGAAGTATATCAAATATAATCAAGAAGTAGACATTAATTAATGCTAACAGACAGAACAAAGTAGATCGCTATGCATGATACACATGATATCCGGTTGTATATATACAACCCCCAAATTTGAAATGTTAAAATGATTTTGAAACTCAAACAGTTTGACCATTGATCATATCAACTAATCCGCACAAAGAGTTTTACAGAAAGGCAATTAGCTATCACAAGAAAATTTGAAGGGCAAATCTCTGAAAAGAAAATACATTAAACAGTACATCAAGAATATGATTATGAAATAAAAAAACTTCCGTACTATATACCTTATCAAATCAGGTGACAAAGGAACCCCTCCATATTAATATATTTTATTATACACCAAGATCTCCTAGCTCTGTAGCAACTAACTGCAGTTTTGCTTCAATGCATGAATAGAAAAATTATGTTGAAATACTACTAACCATAAAACAGCATGATATATGTTGGCATATAGAAACTACAAAAGTAAGTTAACACATCACACAATAGTACGAGTAAGCTCACCAGGTCTCAACTCTCAGCATGCAAGCCGTAGCATCGGTGTTGTTACCGAGTGAATTTCTCCTTCCCGCACATTGTTACATACCTCTTTGAATAGATACTTAATATGAGAATCTTGTGAAATTATTTTCCTCGCGTGTTAGGATGGTGCAATGTTACGGTAACAGAGCTAACGACCCGTGTGGTAGATTTAGCCTGCTGATCATAATATTTTTTGATATATAAGCAAGAATAGTGCTAAACTGCTCATATCTATCCGTTGTAACCAAAAGTCCACAAATGATGAATCAACATGTAAGTCTAGCATTGTTTCGATCATTATTAGTTTAACACTGAATAATATTAAATATATACAGAAAATTTAGCAACACAAAATTAGTTTCCTACATATACATGGGATGACATTTAGGTGGATAGTGAAATAACTATACAGAAAGGAGGAAACTTTATAGCAGCTCCGCATACTTATTGAGTAATCCCCTATCATCTGCCCTTTACATCGTCGTCCTTTTTCTCAACACTTTATCTCCCTGCCATGCGCTACGTCTACACCAAACATGAGCAGCCACATTATAAGATGGATTCAGAATAGCTTACCATTGCAGCAAGAAAACATTTTCTTGCATCAGGAAAAGACCTTGATTTTATTGAAGTCGTACAGTGAGCAGTCAAGTAACATGCACTATAGCAGATCCTGTTCTGCCCCAACCAGGCAAGTCTCTTCAAGTACTAATGATGAATGTTCTTCTTTATTCCCCATGCAAATACCAAAATGGCAAATTGTTTAGGAGAATAACACTGTCAGTTGGAGAAGGTTGTTCTTTGCTTATTGGTCATCGGGACCCAACTTTTACACAGAAAACACATGAAACAGAAGATATACTGTACTAAGGTGAATGCATCAATCATGAGACAAACTAAAAAATTCATACACACACACACAAATTATGGTGCTGATACTGAGACGTTAGTGTGCGCCTACCTTAAATTGCATGTATCTTCCTATTCATTTCTTCAGTTCAAGGGATCCTACTGCTCGAGTGTCAGTGTGTCCAGCCCGCTTGAATGCCTCATCTCAATTTGTGGTGATTCTATCAGTCCCGAAGTAACTTGCCGTCAAGGGTTTCCTAGTTAATTTGGTCAACTGCTCAATTTCAAAAGGGGATTTGGCTTTACAAGGAGTAGCTGGGTGACTTTCAGGTGTGCAGCACAGTACCTTGTTCGTGCTTGGGGCTCAGGGAGGAGGCCGGCAGGAGCTTCGGGAGGGCGCCGGCAGCAGGAACTTGGGGAGGCCGGCAGCCCGAGGTGAGGTCGAATTAAATTTCCGCCTCCACAGACATCCGCGTGCACCAGAGGCCACCGTTGCTGCAGATCTTCCCGGGACAGGCGGCCGTGTGACCGTGTCCAGCAGCTCTGCCTCGTCGTCATCCTCCTCCTCCCTGAAGTAATCGAGCCGGGATGCACGGAATTGTTGGAAGAGAGTAGGTGTGTGGCGGGCCTGCGAGACTCGGGGGTCGGGCGTTGAGGCGACGCAAGGCCGGCGGCGGCGACCAGGGCGGCGCGCGAGGCGGTGGTGGCGGCACGCAGCGGAGCGGCAGGTGGTGGCGGCGCGCTGGAAGTTGAGATAAGTACCTGCTCGCCGGCCCGCAACGACTCCGTCTTCTGCTCATCCTCCGGCGCGCTGGCAGTTGAGATAAGTTGAGGAAGCGGCGAGGGATGTGGAGCTCGACTGGGTCACAGTCAAAACACCGTAGTATGAAGGAAAAACCAATCGTTTCCGAATTTGAGTCTCTGATAGTTTTATTTTTTGATAGTCCAGCCGCTGATTCGTTGCAAGTAGAAAAACGGGTCCAGGCAAGCCCAGCAGGGAAGGGAGCCGGTGCGATCGTTCGACGCATACGACTTGATTTCATTAGTACCACCTCGTGTATATTACAATTTTTTCCATACAAATTGTAAAAGCGTATTATGATATGAGAAGAAAGCGTATTGTGACGGTGAACCCGGAGACCCAATCCGTGCTTTATTATTAGGGAGAGACTAGCAAAAGGGCCCGTGCGTTGCAACGGGAGACCGTACTTCCCCATGGAGAAAACTCATATCCTCACCCAATATTCTCCTTGAAAACATAATCATAATATACCATATACCTCCACAATTTTTGAGTTCTCTTAGATGTAAATTGATGTTCTTTAGTGCCGATGCAACTTCTTAATTAGGCTAAAAAACAACAACCTCCGAATGTAAACATCACATTTTAATTAACAACATTCGAAGGTAAAATAAAGTATCATTCAATGTCCAGGAGATCCTGCTCCTCCCAAGATCCCCTTCGGCCCATTTTCGGTTGTATATTATGTGCACATTCAACCCACCTAGTTTGTCTTTCTTCTGAAGCTAAAGATTCAGTTGTCACATCATTTCTGGTCCACCTTACCCTTCGTTATAAACCTCAAGATGTTATGCAATTCCAAGCTTGCTTTTACAACATTGAAAGAGATCCTACAGTGAAAGTGTTCCAAGCATTTACACTTATTATGTTGTGTAGCCATGATTGATTAACTGATTTTGAGCTGGTGGTGGTCGGGCTTGGCTTTATTTTTCTTGCGAGAGAGATGCATGATCTCAAAATATTGACTACACCCACTACTCTAGATCATAACCATGGAGTATCTTGGAAAACAGTAGTTGTATACTCCCTCCGTTCCTAAATATAAGACCTTTTAGAGATTGCACTATGGACTATATACAGATATACTCCCTCCGTTCTAAAATAGATGACCCAGCTCTATACTAATTTTGTACTAACTTTAGTATAAAGTTGAATCATCTATTTTGGAACGGAGGGAGTATATATCATTTTGCTATGTATGTAGTTCAATATTGAAATTTCTAAAAGGTCTTCTATTTAGGAATGGAGGGAGATACTAACCTTTGCTCTGTTCCTTCTAAACTTGTTTTTCTATGCCACATCATGTCTGTTTCCATCAACAGATGTCTTTCCTTCGGGTGACGTCCTGAGTCATGGGTAGCTTCTTAAATTCGGATTTTTCAATAAGTTGCACTTCTCATCCAACTGAGCAAACTGACTTTGCTGAACGAATGGTTGCTCAATGAACAAGGAGTTCTTCAGACCATATATCACAGGAACACCAGGAACCTGCGAGGAAGCAAAACATACATGAGCTCATTCTGCTATGTCATTTATGTTAAGTAGATAATATGGTGCTACATGCACCGGGCTGCCCTTTTTTAGATAATATGGTGCTTGCTAATTGTATTAATATGTTAATTGTATTAATATCCCTGAGAAAATTCTTTCACAAATCAAATTCAGGTGACAAAATGGTAAAAGCAGAATGCTAACAAATCTTCATACCTCCCATAGCTTTTCACGGAGCTCCGAATCCTGGGTGGCAAAAGAATAATGTTCCCAATTCTTATCACATACCAGTGACATAATACAATCCACCGCAGTGACCACTTTGGCATTCTCAAAACTGAACACAGAAACAAAAGTGCATTGAACAGACAATCAGTGCCCCTGCCTCGAGCTCACCAAGTCATGAAACAGCGAAACTATCCTGACCGAATCTATTAGCAGTATTGTATACACAACCAAACTGAAAAAATAAAACTAACGTGATCTGAATTCAGTATGCAATTTCAAAAATCTCGGCAAGGTTTTCCTACTGTACTTTGGTTTAATAGAACCAAACTAACCAGTGTGATGCCAAAGGTCTAACAGTAGGGGTGTGAAGTTATCTCTACATAATTCGGATTGCATGAATGAACGTATCAATGACAGAGAGACCCAAACCAAATGGGTGTGTCTAGGATACATCTAGATGTGACATAGTTATGTCACATCTAACCTGATGTCCACTATGTTTGTGGTCTATTTTTTTTGTCCCGGCTTTTTTTTTGTTCCTTGTTGCTGCGCTATTTGTGGGAGGTTAAATGTGACATCCTTAAAAAACATCTACTCCCTCCGTTCCTTGTTCTCCTCCAAAAGAAAGAAAAGTAACACAAGAAAATACTAAATGTTAAATCCAAGATCTCAATCATGAAATAATTGTAAGCAATGGGATTCACAGGAGGGGCCTGCTGCAATTCATGAATCAACGATTGTTAGAGAATCAAGTGCTATTATACCTCGAGACAATGTATTCTGTAGTTGCCAAGCTTTACTACAATTCAGAAAATTCTAGTCCAAACAGATTAACCAGCCAAGGGATACTGCAGAAATCCTACCCCTGCAGTAGTTTTGAGTGTTCAGGTTCACATATTTATGGACTACTTGAGAGAAAAAATTAGCATTGAAGCTGATATAGTATGATGAGTTGATGACAACCTGAATAACAACATTTGGATGTGGAATTGCAATTAAAACTTGCTGCGTTTATCAATAGTTTTGGAAGAAAAATAATCTGTGGGGGTACAGGAGAGCCTAGAGGATGGTTCTCCAGCTCTTTGCTTTCAGAAGATTTGGAGGCTGTTGGATATTCCAGAACTAAATGTGCCACTTCAGTTATGCATAAACACTCCATATGAGCTTCAACAACACAACCACCACATTAAAGCAGACATCATTTACATCTAGAACCTATTGTGTCAGTTTCAGTCTTGCACGAACATGACGCATAATCAGGGGTCCGATGATTTGAGGCATTCCCTTCACCAGGCAAAATGCGTGTGTGTGTGTGTATCTAGAGGAACGACACTGGCAGCAGGCTAATATCATCTATAATGCGGGTTGCCTGTGTAGATGCTCAGGGATAGAGAAAATAAATACCGTAGAATCAAAAATCATCTAAGCATCCCCTCTATCAAAGCTTGATGCTAAGTATGGGTGCTAATTACATATTGAAAACACCTTTGGTACTTTACCTCGTGCGGAAGAAAATACCCAAGCGTGTGATGCACCTTCTGTCACCGATACCACATATCGACTGTGAAACAAATCATATCACCTCATGCTATCATTCAGCGCTGAAGATGGTCTAATAGGAAGAGCATGCTCACCACGGTGACCTCGATGACGCCGTCCTGCTCGAAGAGCTGCACGAGGCGCTCGCTGCTAACGTCGTAGGGAAGGTTGCGCACGTACACCTTGGCCTCGTCCCACAGATCCCTGTACTCCCATATATATATATATCATGAGAAATGTGCATAAAATCTGGCAATCAAGAAAAAGATAAGTGTTTACACTAAAGATTATCAACAAAAAGATAACTCATATGTATTTAATTCAGCGCTGAAGAAGTGCTTCCCTTTCTTGTTTCTGTTAAGGGGGTCACTATAGAGAACCACGCAGCTAATGGTTGAACTTTTCATGGCAAATTTTGGATAAATACCTTAAATTTATTATATATATGTCTTTAATTAATCATCATTAATTTATTTATAAAAACAGTAGATTGAACTTGGGATTTCCAAACATTTTGGCCTAAAATGTATATTGACTAACTTAGCATTGAACTATACAAATATTGGGTATAGGACATACTGTACTCAGGCATGTAAATATGAGAACTTTGTCATGCATCAGTCGTATGAAGCTCATTTGTTTTCCTTCTTTATTTGTATTAGAATTTTTGGATTTAGTGATGTTGTTAGTTCTGATCAATTAGTTGTTCCATGCACACACACATATTTATCAACCAACACCATGAGCCATCGTGCGAAAAAACTAATTAAATAGGCCCATGCACTACCCGCAAACTACATGATGGCAATGATTACCTTGTTGCCTGCTTGACTGCATACTGAAACATGGGTGCCAAAAGAGTAGCTCTAATCGTGGTAGTCCTTGTCAGTTGCTGTCGATCTACCACCAATACAAATCTTGTTTTCTGAAGAGAATCTCACCAAACAAAACCTGAAGAGTTATATTGAAAGTCAGCCAGATGCCCTTCCCCAAAATAGTACTATTTTCTATTAAGATCAGCATAAGTGACATATACAATGATTTGCATTTGCTAACTGCTCTCATGAGCTGTTTGCAGCGCTGTGTCATGTCCTAAACAATGCAATCCAGTATGTATAGACGGCAAAAGTGTAAAGATAAAAACTACCAATACAATGTTTCAAAGTGAGTTACTATAAGATGAGATCATCGATGGACGTTCAATCAAAGAAATTCATAGGATCCCCACTTCGAAAGATTTCAGTAAACGTTCTCACTGTCTTTGATTGATTACAACAGATTTATGCCTATTGCTCAAAGCACATGCCTATAATCCGATGGAAACTATTAGAAAGAATGTGAACAGAACAAAAAACATATACTGGTCTCCATCCATCATGCCATGTATGTTGGTTCCCTTGCAGTTCAGGTAAGACACAACCAAATTAAGCAATCGAACAGAGAAAGCCATCATGCAGGAGCAGAGGAGCGGGATTGATCAAGCAGTTGGGAATCAGTTAAAACAACAAAGAGGAAAGGGGGAGAGGCTAGGGTGGAAGTGAGCTCATGGGAAGGTAGTGACCGGAGGGAGCGCGGCGGCCGCGGCCAGACCCTCCGCGTCCGTGTCGCCGTAAGCCTCGGCCGGATCCGAAGCACGTTGATTCTGACGCTGCCCCGCCTCCCGCGCATCCTCCTCCTCCCGGCCGTTTCCCGCAGCGGCGAGGAGCGTGTTGAGCAGCTGGTTGCGTTCGGCGGCGCGCGCTCGAGCCGGCCTGCGCATGCCCGGAGAACGGCGGCCTAGTCCTCGGCGTCGGCGAACCGCGCCCGGAGGACTCGGAGTCTCGGACGGCGCGGGGAGGAGGGCGCAGCGGAGAGGAGGCAGGCCAGGGTGCGGGGAGGACGGCGTGGCGGAGGATGGCATGCCGGCGGCGGGGAGGCCGCGGATCCATTGGTGGGAGGCGCGGGCGCTCGAATTGGGGATGGTTTTTTTTCTATCGATCGCGTGCACGGGTAGGCGAGAAATACGAAACGTTTTTTTCATTATTATTTATACTGGACTGCGGGTTAATTACTTAATTTTATAGGGATTTTTCTGCAAATACGCCGCGACGGTGAACCCGGAGACCCAATCCGTGCTTTATTATTATTACTAGCAAACATGCCCGTGCGTTGCAACGGGAGACAAAATAGTTACACGCGAGCCAAATAAGTATGACTCAATACCCCAAATTATGAGCGTCCTCTATTTTCACACGGTAGCTCACCATGTTTCCACTTATCTTTCTTTCCACCCTCGTTGATGATGTACGCGATGTCCATGTGATCGCAATGCATTCGACGTGGTAAATCCCAAGGCAACGAGCTTGCCACTGCATGGCACACTTGTCATTGTGCCGCGCAAGAGAATGTTTAAAACTTTAAAAACAAATTTCATGGACCACAAACTACTCCTAGCGCCTAGACATAAAAGGACTTTCCAAAAACTACCCAAATCCAAGACATGAAAGACTTTTGAATCGACGAACATTTTTTCTAATCGACAAACATTTGTTTTAAAATTTTGGGCAGTTTTTAAATGCATTAACATTTGTTTTGTTAAGACGAACATTTTTTGAAATGCATGAGTAGTTTTCGAATTCATGAACATTTGTTTTGTTCAGACAAACATTTTTTGAAATGCATGCATAGTTTTTGAATTCATGAACAATTTTTGAGTTAGCAAACCTTTTTGTATCAATGATTTTTTTTTATAATTGGGGAACAAATTTTGAAAAATTGTGATTTTTTTATAATTTGCAAATAGTTTTGTAAATCACCAAAAGAATTAAAACTGCAGAAAATTTATGATTTCTCGCACATTTTTTGAATTCATAAACATTCTATGATTTGTCGAATATTTTTCTCAAAAGTTGCAACCTTTTGTAATTTGAAAATCTTGAATTAATTTAAAGAAGAAAAAACAAAAACAGAAATGAGAAAAGAAAAGAAAAAAAATAGGGGCATCACGCCCCACGGGCCGGGCATGAACGCGTATGTGGGAGGGAGGACGTGTGTGATAAAAACTACTCCTAGCGCCTAGACATAAAAGGACTTTCCAAAAACTACCCAAATCCAAGACATGAAAGACTTTTTAATCGACGAACATTTTTTCTAATCGACGAACATTTTTTCTAATCGACAAACATTTGTTTTAAAATTTTGGGCAGTTTTTAAACGCATTAACATTTGTTTTGTTAAGACGAACATTTTTTGAAATGCATGAGTAGTTTTCGAATTCATGAACATTTGTTTTGTTCAGACGAACATTTTTTGAAATGCATGCATAGTTTTTGAATTCATGAACAATTTTTGAGTTAGCAAACCTTTTTGTATCAATGAACTTTTTTTATAATTGGGGAACAAATTTTGAAAAATTGTGATTTTTTTATAATTTGCGAATAGTTTTGTAAATCACCAAAAGAATTAAAACTGCAGAAAATTTATGATTTCTCGCACATTTTTTGAATTCATAAACATTCTATGATTTGTCGAATATTTTTCTCAAAAGTTGCAACCTTTTGTAATTTGAAAATCTTGAATTAATTTAAAGAAGAAAAAACAAAAACAGAAATGAGAAAAGAAAAGAAAAAATAGGGGCGTCACGCCCCACGGGCTGGCCATGAACGCGTATGTGGGAGAGAGGACGTGTGTGAGAAAAACTACTCCTAGCGCCTAGACATAAAAGGACTTTCCAAAAACTACCCAAATCCAATATATGAAAGACTTTTGAATCGACGAACATTTTTTCTAATCGACAAACATTTGTTTTAAAATTTTGGGCAGTTTTTAAATGCATTAACATTTGTTTTGTTAAGACGAACATTTTTTGAAATGCATGAGTAGTTTTCGAATTCATGAACATTTGTTTTGTTTAGATGAACATTTTTTGAAATGCACGCATAGTTTTTGAATTCATGAACAATTTTTGAGTTAGCAAACCTTTTTGTATCAATGAACTTTTTTTATAATTGGGGAACAAATTTTGAAAAATTGTGATTTTTTTATAATTTGCGAATAGTTTTGTAAATCACCAAAAGAATTAAAACTGCAGAAAATTTATGATTTCTCACACATTTTTTGAATTCATAAACATTCTATAATTTCTTGAATATTTTTCTCAAAAGTTGCAACCTTTTGTAATTTGAAAATCTTGAATTAATTTAAAGAAGAAAAAACAGAAACAGAAATGAGAAAAGAAAAGAAAAAATAGGGGCGTCACGCCCCACGGGCTGGCCATGAACGCGTATGTGGGAGAGAGGATGTGTGTGAGAAAAACTACTCCTAGCGCCTAGACATAAAAGGACTTTCCAAAAACTACCCAAATCCAAGACATGAAAAACTTTTGAATCGACGAACATTTTTTCTAATCGACAAACATTTGTTTTAAAATTTTGGGCAGTTTTTAAATGCATTAACATTTGTTTTGTTAAGACGAACATTTTTTGAAATGCATGAGTAGTTTTCGAATTCATGAACATTTGTTTTGTTCAGACGAACATTTTTTGAAATGCACGCATAGTTTTTGAATTCATGAACAATTTTTGAGTTAGCAAACCTTTTTGTATCAATGAACTTTTTTTATAATTGGGGAACAAATTTTGAAAAATTGTGATTTTTTTATAATTTGCAAATAGTTTTGTAAATCACCAAAAGAATTGAAACTGCAGAAAATTTATGATTTCTCGCACATTTTTTGAATTCATAAACATTCTATGATTTCTCGAATATTTTTCTCAAAAGTTGCAACCTTTTGTAATTTGAAAATCTTGAATTAATTTAAAGAAGAAAAAACAAAAACAGAAATGAGAAAAGAAAAAAATAGGGGCATCACGTCCCACGGGCCGGCCATGAACGCGTATGTAGGAGGGAGGACGTGTGTGAGAAAAAGGTGGAGGAAAATAGGAGGACCCTAGGGATCGAACCCGGGTCTGCGCGGTAGAGGAGATAGGATTCAACCACTGAGCTGCTATAGGGTCCATGTCATATGTGGGATATTACCTTTATAAAAGACTATGCGCGACGATGACTTTGAAAAAAAAAACGAATCGTTTTCTTGACTTATGAGTGGCATAGCGGGTAATTTATAGCAACTTTAAGGGTATTTGTTTTGACGGACGACAGAAACCTTATTTGCTTTATTATATATATATATATATATATATATATATTATATAATTATAATTATAATTATATTATATTATTATTATTATTATTATTATTATATATATACTAGTACAAATGCCCGTGCGTTGCATCGGGCGAAAAATTAAAACCCGCTCCATGTGCCATTATACAACACTTTTTTAATCCATGTTTCGCAAACATCAGAAATAAGATCGTCGATATTTACCTTTAAAAATGGGATTTGTGGTCTTTCATCTTCCCATGTGGACAACAAAATATTTCATGAGGCACATCAGAAATGAATGAACAATAGAAACTACTTTTAAATTAGGATGAGGGGCATGTAAAAGTTGTGCCTCCAAAAACTACATGTGTGAAAGATCTGTACTAATACATCCACTCTTGCAAGCACTTAGTATTCACCTAGCATACCTACAAGATCTACATGATTACCAACTATACAAATATATGTTTAGATCTTTGGGTTACTTGTAGTGTGTTCTAACCAAATACAATTTTAAGATGATATGCTGCAATACTTTGTTCTAGTCACCCATCTGCCGAACTACTAAACAATCCAGTACATGTTTTGATTAGCAAGACAGAAATATACAGATACTCTTCAAATTAAACGGAGTCCATTGAATATCAGTAAATTTGTTGCACGTACAAATACCTCTGCGTTGCACCGGGCGAAAAAGTAAAATATGGGCATGTACTAAGTTTTTTTTTGAGCATCAGTACAGACATAAGCGCTCATATACACGCGCATACACTCATCCCTATGAATGCACACACGCACACCCTACCCCTATGAGCACCTCCGAGAGACTGAGCCGGCATATCATCTTGAGATTTACGAAGTCACCGTAGGCGCCTCGTCGTCAACGGGAACGTCTCCTCCCACTGAAAGTGCATCGCCGGAAATCCTGAAATAAATCCAGGAATAATGCGAGCACCAGGATTTGAACCCTGGTGGGTTGGGGATACCACTGTCCACCTAACCAACTCAACTACAGGTTGATTCGCGGGCATGTACTAAGTTGGCTTTACTTTTTTCTGTCTGGGCGTCCACACTCTCAAAGCTGGGTAGTACGTACAACACTTTATATTAGACTGTTTTGTTGTTGCACTTCTGATCCAGTAATATGTTTCCTTTTTAGTTTTGTGATCAGTATTAATCCGCGAAGGACACAAACAACATCAAATCGTCAAACATATCTCTCAGTCAACATGAAATCGTCAAACACATCTCTTAGCTGCTTCCAAGTGGATGTGTTCTCGCCGTCCTCGGGGCCGCCGGAGCGTGTTTGCCTTGAACGCGGATGTGAGCTTACGGTTTCCTCGACATCTGCTTGATGACCCTTTGTCGCGACTCACTTACCTTGAACGCGAACGTGAGCTTACGGTTTCCTCGACATCTTTTTGACGACCCTTTTGCCGCAACTCACCGGCGATGGCATGTAGGCTCTGCTGCTCGTCGTCACTGGTGCGCCACGGTTGGAGCAGAGGGAGGACAACGGCGCGTGAAGACCGCCATGGTTGGCGTGGAGGGAGGACAATGGCACGCGAAGACGCCTCAAGGGAGATAAGGTAGGTCGCTGGAGCACCAAAACAACGCGGGCGCGGTTCTCTGTTTATTCCCAATCTTAATGAAGGGTTGCCACACACTGAGGAAACAGAGCATCATCCAGCGGAAGCAACACACAAACCAGGAGGAGGAGCATAGTTCATATCTTCATATTGAGGGGAAATATTTGTGGAAATTAAATAATAAAAGCACTGCAACTGCTAGTAAACAACATGATAATTTCAAGCAATACACATGACGATCATCAAGCACAGAATAATGTTAAAGAGTGCAGGTCTAGATTTCATTTCAAGCTAGAAACTCAAAGTCGTTTAGTGAGTGGAGTGTAGCATCTATATATATGGCTCAAAGTCGTTTTCTAGTAATAACCAACAGTACAGTTATACAAATTACAATTAGCACAAATAGATTCTCAACTATATATATGGTTAATCATCCTTCATAATTTTAAGTCTTTACAATTCATGTGTGTACCAGTATCATTTGAAAATAGATCAAACAACACCCTGTGCACTTCAAGTCTTCAACCATAACAGAAACAAAAATTTAGTCTGCTGCTATCAAGTACAAACAGAATCCATATATGTAGGATGGCATTATGTGTTGCTTGTCAGTCAAATGTAGTCTACTGTTGGCAACAGCTATATTAGCTACAGTAAACTGACGAATTGACAAAAAGATAAGACCCATCAGATGCTTCAAAAGTACATGCGGCAAAGTAGGTCTAGGCGATCGCTGATGGTCTTCCGGCAGTCCGCAGAGGCGATGGCAGATGGCCTTGCGGCAAAGTCAGCGAAGGCGAAGTTGACGGAGACGACGGCTGCAAAGTCGACGGATACAACATATTACAGAGATGTCAAAACCAATTAATCCACTCCACTAAATACACCTCATAATCCTATTTTGCTAGGTGCAGCAAGCATATCTATGTGTATGCAATTAAGCTATTTGATAACCGAAGAAAGAGCAGAATATATGAAACTTCAAGAATTACTCCAGCATCATGCCCAAGAATTACTGTAACCAAATTGAAGCCACCATGTTCAGGTATATGTAATCAGCAACATGAAATTTCTTGGTTCAATCCTTGGCTAGTAACAATACTGAAACAGGAGCTTGTATCATATCAGCCAAACTGAAATTGTGAACAATCGGAAGTAGCACCAATTTTCAGAAAAACTAAACTGAAACAGGCGTAGATTTATTCAGTACATTGGATTTTGTCTCAGCCATCATTTATTTGAGTGTCTGTCTCTATATACTGCATCTCTGTTTGGCTGCGTGCTCTGGAGAGGAGCAGTAGCTACTCCACTGCACTTTTCTTTGTGTGGCAGCAGAAGCAGATTAACATATTCCACTTGTGTACAAAGGGCAGCAGCAGCAGATTAACATTATAATTTATGCTTGTTTGATGTGTCCGCAGATTAACATTATAATCCTAACTACAACCACCCACCTTGTATCAGTCTCAGAATATGGCCAGCATGCACACTTAACTCTGAATCACTTAGCACAGCAATGACCCTTTTTTTGGCTAAAAAGTCAGAGAAGGTCAACAAGGCTTTGCATGGCAATGTGCATCCCCAAGAGCAACAACTCCCCATAAGCTACAATTTGTATGAAACTCAACTTTTTTGATTTGTTTTGAGTTTTTAGGAATCACAAATATATGATTTTTTAAAATCTCGACTGATGATTGTAACAGCACAAAAGAATTCATTGGGGGCATGCATAGCCTGTTGGAGGCTCGAACACAAAACCATGCACTCCCTTTGGTTGTTGGTAGTACAACATAATGCAACATAATGCAAATTATGTATGACAATCCATTATGCGAATTACCTATGAAACTCTGAATCAACGAAATTACAAATATTGAGCAGGTGTACTGGATGCAGAGTAGCTAACAGAAGTGTAGCATCTATGAATCTAGTGGAAGCATTACAGACTTGAAACAAATTTCTGAACTCTGAAGAAAGCAGTTAGAAAATAACTGAAACTTTGCTAAAAACTGTTGAACTATGTACTGAATAAAAGAACAGGTTCGCAATTCTGTGGCAGACAGAGAAACAGGGGCTACCCTTGATTTCCTTTGTAGTGATTTGGCTTTCAAGGGGCTACATACGTCTGCTGTAGCCGCCGTTGTCGATATTGGACGGCTCGACGGATGTTCTTCTACCTCCGTCGAACTCGGCGTCTCTTCCTCCGGCGAACTCGAAGGCGACATGTTTTCTGGTCCAAGTACTCCGGAATTTGATGGATTTGCTGGTCCAAGCACGCAACCTGATGGAGGTTCCGGCCGAGGACCCTTCCTTCTTATAGGACACGGCACGAATTCAATCCAAATCATACACGGGGGCAGGATGTCGGAGATTGAGAAGCTTACTCGTGGAGGCCGGAGAGCCACCCGGGCTGCAGCGCCTCCTCGGCCGCCAGCGCACGGGCGGGCGCGTCGAAGCGGAGCTCGCGAAGTAGAGCCACACGGGCTGCAGCGCCTCCTCGGCCGCCAGCGCACGGGCGGGCGCGTCGAAGCGGAGCTCGTCGGCGCTGCACAGGAAGCTCGACGCGCTGGCGGCGTCCCCCAGCGCCTCGCCCACCATGAGGGGCGCCGCGAACTGCACCAAAGAGCCGTCTGGGCCGACCACCTTCGCCGTGGCCACACGCCGGCGACGGCCGTCGACGGCGCACGACGGAATGGGCGTAGCCGCCGCCGTTGCCACAGGAGGAATGGATAAGATGACGGGAGGACAGCGAGTGAAATTCAAATGAGTACAGGGGTTTTTTTGCAAAATGAAACGTTATATAGAGACCCATACTAAAACAGGGACTGCGGGTTGATTTTTTATAAACCGAGGGGCTTTTTCGCAAAACGCCAGCGACGACGGACGACCAGAAGCACTCCGTGCTTTATTAGTAGGGAAAGATTATTATTATTATTATTACTAGTACAAATGCCCGTGCGTTGCACCGGGCGATAAAAATGATAGAACCTACTTGATGGGTCATTTTTTGCCATTTTTAATATCTAATTCTAATAAATGTTGAACATGGAAATTTCTTTTTTTAATAAATTCATTAAAATGTAAACTCTATAAAATAATTTTTTTTGAAAAGAATGTATTTTTGTAGTAAAGAAGTGATTTTTTGGGCGAATTTTTAAGTGTTTTTAAAAATTACGAACATATTTTTTTGAAATATTTTTAAACTGTTTTTTGTGTTAACTTTTTGGGTATTTTTGTTTGGTAATTTTTACAGATAGTTGGTAGCTTGGTTGGGAAATTTATTTTTTTTACTATCTGGGCTTGGCCCAAACAAAATAGTTAAGGTGCATGGAAGGACCCACGAACTTATCTTCGTACCGCTGCGACCCCTAAAAGAAGATCTTCTTACTATTGGGCCGTGAGGGCCCAACAATGTGTAATTGACCCTTTCTTTTGCTACATATCTAAAACTACCATCAGGGATGCAAGTAAACTAATTGATAATTGAAGAAAGAGCAGAATATATGAAACTTCAAGAATTATTCCAGCATCATGTCCAAGAATAATAACCAAGTTCAAGCCACCATGTTCAGGTATATATGTAGTCATCAACATGAAATTCTTTGGTTCAATCCAAATGCCATGTGTACATGAGCTAAATATACTTATACCGGTCTAGCACAGAAAGAAGTACATGATCGGCAATGGCAAAACCCGATACAGTATAGACTTGTATACCAAGGGAAACTGGAACAAAATGGTTTACAAAATGTACAAGCTTTACTCTCCAGACTCTGCAGGCTATAAAAACAGAACACACTCAGGTGCCGGTTCTTCAAAATATAAAGTCGTAGCTGCATTTGTTCAGAACAAAGAATAAAGCATTCATAGCTTAGCCGCCCTCTGCTTCAGTTAAATAATACGTGCTAGCTTGCTTATGGATGTGCCCAGAAAATTCAGTGTGAACAACTCTGAACCTGACTCTGGCTAAAAGAACAAAATCATTGGCTTGATTTAACTTATTATGTGTTCTGCATTATGGACACCGTGACATCAGTAGCAACTTAGTGACATGTTTCAATTGGTAAATATAAGAAACTTAGTGACGACGCGTGTTATTTGAGGATGACAATTGTTCTCTCCCATACCCTTAATCAACTCATACACTCTGATATGTAAATTCAGGCCATATACATTCAGCTTCTACCACACAAAAAATGAACCTAGAAAACCTAGCAAGTACTATTACTTTTCAAGGACCAAAAACTTGAAAGAGGAATAACATAGAAGAAACGAAGAACAAACCTCTAGTGGAAGCATTACATGCATTTGTGAGTCCAAGCATAATATCTGCAAGAAATTCAGAAAATACAACATGCCTCCAAAATTCAGAGATCTCATGACAGGTGGACTGATGCCCAATATATCTTTAGATAAAGAGGGGGGTGAGATAAAGAATGTGCATGTTTCCCTAGGTAGTCTGATGATCCGAAGCAAATTATCCACAAGGAATAGAAAAAAAATCAGTAGAACATCCAAGGACCAAATGGGCAAACAATAATATAATCTTGAAAAGAAATACCAACATTAGTAAATTTTACCACGAAACAATGGCAGTTCTCTGGCACTTCTTTCCTTGTACCCAAAATAATTCCAAAAATAACAAACAACAAATTACAAAACCAGAGAAGGTAATCTGGTGTACTTTAGTCGTCGTATAGTGCTTCTACTTAGCCTAATAGGGGTAGCGCCACTCAAAAAACCAGCAAATCAAATCAATCTTGCAAGCTTTTTCTTCACTGTAACTATTCCGCAAGACTGCTCAAATATAAGCTATTTAGTGGAGCACAACTATAGTACTGTGCGATATTTAGAAATCAGCTTGTGCGCTCAAGTGCAACTCAATTGCATACCAGTTTGGTGATGGCAACTAAATCTGAAATCCAAAAGCTTAAGTAACGTCAAAGTTGAGATATCGCTTCCTTGCAGCTATGTTTCCACTGACAAATCAACTTCCTGCTAATGGAGCAACCCAATGATTAGTGGTAACATAATTAAAATACTGCAGTGATACTTTCTTGTTGGTAAGAAACTTAATTTCAGTGCTAGAGATAAATTATTTGTTTCAGCATGCTAGAAATAAATTCTTTGTTTCGCCAAAATGACAGTATTTTTCTGTTCGGGAAACTTGATGTTTCGGCAAGATCCTAAAAACAGCAGCAACAAATATTTCCAGTAGAATTATCACATATCTCGGCCTCACCATCTCAAAGCGACACATAAGACAAACAAAAAGGAAATCCAAATCGCACTTGTTCCTACTATATATCTGCAGATCACAGACCATGGCTTCACAAGCTTCCGCCACTCTAGCACATATGCCCGTCCGAGGTTCAACTATCATTATTCTCTTGTGTACAATCAGGACAGAAGCAGCATAATTTTTCTGACACTTGAATTCAAAACAACTACTAAAACCAAATTCATGTTGCTATTTGGACGCACAAATACTCTGTATCAACTAATGCATTGTGCATGGAAAACGGGAAATTACCTCTTGTTACAACCAGGAGCTTCAGGATTTACTTTGCTTGTTAATTCCACCGACTACATTGGTGTAGCTCTCTTCCTTGCCGGGTCTATTCCTCAGCTGCTGCACAAGAATAAACAACAGTAAGCGATTTAGCCAATGTGAAGTCATCATTTTACTTGCACCTATCTTAAATCGGAAGTGAAAAAGAAACTCAACTGTGCACATTAGCAGAAATCATCGTCAACAAAGCCATAATGTACTGCCATGGGAAACAACACCAAATAAAGCATCATCAGTTCATATATGTAAGAAAAAAAATATGCTAGCAAGCAACAGTGCTGCTCCCGAAACTGTAACCGTCGAGTCCCGCGAGATACATAACCATCGACCATTGTTTCGTCGCTTTGCTGCACATCAGACATACACGCCTTTGCCCAAACATCAGGGAAAGGTTTGGGCGCTGTCATCCTTGAATCTAGGGACAACCAAAAATAACAGATCAATCTCCATGCCCAACATAATTTGCAAAATCAAGTGAGTATTTCCTCTCTCGATCTCCTGGCTCTGCTCAACTACGGGAGCCGGCAGAGCCAGACAGGGGAACTTGTGTGCGCAAACGTCAATTCCATAGCAGGTCATGAGCCGGCGAGCAGCGCCCCGAGGAAGTGGAGATGGATGTACCAGGGAGAGGCAGCAGTATCTTTGCGCACAGCAGCATGAGGCAGTGACGGAGATCCTGGGGGAGGCACGGAGGTGGCGAGGTCAGTCCTCGGCGGGTTCACGCACAATTGGGTGTCCACCGGCGGGCAGCGCGCTCCGCGCGCCGCCGGACCTTCACCATTGACCACGCCTCCGGCCATCTCTCCTTCCTCTCCCTTCCCTCTCTCTTTACTCCTGTCTCTCTCTCTTTCTCAAAATCTCCCTCCTCTTCTCCCACAGGTAGCAACCACTATGGATGGTGCTGCCCGAAGCTTTGCTAGCCTCCCATGGCGTGCCCCCACCTCCACTCCGGTCTCTCCTCGCCGGATCCGCCCCGCCGCACCCATTACCGTGCCCCTCGAGCTCCGGCCTCCTCCCATGGCGTGGCCCGCCTCGACTCCGGCCTCCTCCTCGCCGGATCCGCCCCCAGCCGCTCGAGCCACCGCGTTGACCCGATCCAGAAGCTGGGCTTGAGCGGCGGCGCGACGGCGGGTCGAGTTCCGGCGGATTCCGGCGGGGCGACGACGGGGCGGAGTTCGGCGGCGCGCGGCGGCGTTGCAGGGCGTGGCGGCGCTGGAGGTGGATGAGATTGGGGTTCATGGGTCGTTCGTGTGGCTAGGTTTTTTTTTCTTTCCAGGGGGACCGCGGGTTGAATTCTCAAAACGGCAGGGTTCTTTTTGTAATAACGAAACGTTTTCTGAGATAGCAACTTAAAAAGGGACCGCGGGTTGAATTCTTGAAAATAGAGGGGCTTTTTTGCAAAAGTGACGACGACGTACGGGCAGAAGCACTCCGTGCTTTATTAGTAGGGAAAGATATATATATATATATATATATATATATATATAATATATATAATATATATATATATATATAGGTAGAGATAGAGAGTAGAGATAGAGATAGAGATTAGGGAGAGATTATTATTATTATTATTATTACTAGGTAATTGCCCGTGCGTTGCATCAGGAGAACAATAGTCATGTATGCACGGTGATATATTTAGGTCATGCTCCCAAAGATGAATCAACCAAGAGCTCTTTACCCACTATTGTTACAATATAAAAAATGTGCAATACATGTATTAGTTGAAATAGACATTTGTATATAGTTAAATGCACATGCATTGCTATGGAGGAAAAATATATCATCACCAAAATGCAACCACGGTAATTATTGAACTCCTTGCGCATATTTGAGTCAAAAGATTGAACCACGGTAAATTATTCAATTCAAGGCGAAGTAGATACATAATTTTGTTCACCGCATAATTGCATGACAAGAATAGTCATGGTCAAACTGCACAAAACATTGCAATGATGCTTCTGCAGGGGTGCCCACTATGATATTTTCTCTAACAAAAGAAAAATTGAATAGCGACTTTTCA